TGTGGGTGCTCCTCCCCCCCCCCCCCCCGTGTGTGTGTGTGTACATATATATGTGTGTGTATGAGAGAGAGAGAGAGAGAGAGAGAGAGAGAGAGAACAAATTAATGGGAGAACGGATACTGCAATAACATGGATAGAACCCATTCTGTGGGGCTTTCACCATTTTTGAGAAGGAAGTCAACTGGCAAAGAACAATTCACAGCTGGTCCTGCTGTTTTGGTTAAAGTATCCACACGGATATTTGAGCTGCACAGGGGCATGGAGAAATATCTCCTACATAGCTGTGTGCAAGCAAAAGAAGCCTCATCCCTTGGAAAAATCAAAATTACTTGACAGAAAGCAAACTGAAAATAGTTAATAGTACACAACATACAGAACACAAAATAGAAGCTTGAGTCAAGTAAGGCAGGAGGTAATGCATGGATCCTGAGATAACTGCCTGTGCTCTGGCTGAAGTGAAACTAATACCAGCCTCCAGCATTCTGAAATGCTGAACATCTCAGTTACAGCTGTCACTTTTTCCCTTGGGCTGGAATACTCCATGTGCCATATACCTGGCAGTTTAATTTGCTTGCCACTATTTCTGTTAATGTGAGGTAGGATGCAAACATAGAGATACAGAATCCCAGAAACACCATCAATCAACAGAGGGCCAAGTCTGAGATAACCTGAGCCTCCTTCAATCCATGTACACACATAGCATGGTGAAAAATTACTCCTCCACATGTTAAGTAACTGCACAGCTTGATGACAGGCCACATGTCAAGGCTCTTAACAGACACTGCACAAGGCAGAGCTTACAGTAGAAAATGGAGTAAGAGACTACTGCAAAGTAAAATGCATATGTGGGGGCAGCAGGTAAATCCTCACCCATTCCTGTGTCTGTAGAGTCCAGATGGTCTTGCAAGTCGAGAGTTTATTGCAGCTTTGGATTGTGAGTTCTCTACACTTCCAGGAGTCACCCAGAGGGAGAAATTGTTGGCACTTGCCCCTGAGGAGACTCAGTCTTATCTGAGCCCTACTGAGGCCCACAAATCTTTAGCTTTTAGGGGAGGCTTTCAAGGAGGATCAAACGTGGCTGCTCAGGGCAAGGAGGGCTTTCTAGTCTCTGTCCGGATTTCAGCCTATGCCTCCCTGGTGGTGGCTGCTGCTATAGGTGTGGCTGCTGATGGAGACAACACTGATGCTCCTGTTGCTCCAACGTCAACCAATGGGTGGGTGTGGGGCATGACTGGCTCATGGGAGTCATGGATGCCAGTAACTGTCTCTGAGTGTAAGGATGGAATAGGGAAAGTGGTCAAACATCCTATGCCCCTGCTTCATCCATGGAGAAGCTGGATCCACATGAGCACCTCTGTGCAGGGGTCCTCCAGGTGAGAATAGCCACAAACCTCCTGTTTTTAGGTGCTCTTCTGTCTCTTTTCAGGCATCTTTCCAAGTACCTTTCTCTTCAGTTCCTCAGGTGTCTGACTCCTGCCATCTTGACAGAGTCAGGAATGTCTAATCTCCCTGCTCCATCCTCTCTTAGCTTCCTCCAAGGCCTCCAGCTGGTAGACTGAACCTGCCCCTTCCTCCTTCTCCACATGCCTTTCATACACCACGGGTTCCTCCTCCACCTTTCTCAGACCCAGCAGTAGTCTGTCCCGAGGACTCTAATCAGGAGCCTGGGGTGGTGGCTGACAGCCCGCCAGATGTGCTGGTGGCAACCTCCTAACAGCATGGCAGAGAGAAGCAGTAGTTTCTTAGCCACAGTAACTTATTTCAAGAGCCTGTATATAACTGCAGGCCACAACTAAGATTAAAAAGGCAATTATTTCACTGGTAGTGCCTGTGGGCATTTTATGACAAAACAGAGGTGTTTGTATATACAAAAAGAAGGCCACTGATCAGGACCTGACTCCTTGAGGGACTGTGCTCTGGCCTCAGGACGTTATCTCCACACTGCTAGGGATACAATATTAGGCTGAATGTGCCTGAATTCCTGACTCAGTGCAACATTGCTTTATGTATTGTACTGCAGAACTGAACAATGTATCGGTCTCCTTATATCGCTAAGCCTGTGACTCATCATCTCTCACTATACTGGCTAAGGTAGGGCTGATGGGAGTTACAACCCACCAACACATAGAGGACTGCAAGTTGCCCATCCCAGTACTATGGGATCAAAAAGTGATTCATAAAACAATTGTAAACATTTCTACAAAAGAGGAATTGGGCCTTTTCAACGGTGGCCCCCTATCTTTGGAATATGCCTCCAATTGAGATATGACAGGCTCTTTCTTTCTGGACATTCAGGAAATGAGTGAAAACAGAATTATACCCAGCTGACTTCAATAACCTATCCCCTGGATGCTGTTAATATCTGGTGGGGAAATAAGAGAGGGCCTTTTGGGGGCTATTCTCGGATTTGGAACTCCCTCCCACAAGAGGCCAGCTAATATCTAGTGGGGAAATAGGAGAGGGCCTTTTTTGGGGCTATTCTCTGATTTGGAACTCCCTCCCACAAGAGGCCAGGCTGGCCACATCTTTGATGTCCTTCTGCAAGCAAAGATCTTTCTCTTCAGGAAACCTTCCCTTTAGTGACTGGCTGCCTGAAGGGGGTTTTTTTAAATGGATTGTTGTGCCTTACTGCCTTGAATCTGTTTTTAGTGTTGGGTTTGTTTGATTTTTTTAAAGTATTTGTATACTAATTCTTTTCAGTTTAAATATTGCCTTTTAGTGATGTAAGCTGACTTGGTTCCCTTTTAAAGAAAAAGGAGGGGTAAAAATGTTTTAAATTTAAAAAATTAGGTTTTTTTCTTGTTCTTTCTCTTTCCTTTTGCATGAATTTTTTATCTATATTGATGAATTGCCAAATTGGCTGTATTGTTTTGTGGGGTTCTGGGTTTTTATTTGTAATGCACCCAGAGGGGTGACTGATCAATTCAGCAATCAATCAACATAATAATTTCAATGATATTTTTAAACAAAGAGTCATGCTCCTGCCACACAGCACAACTTGAGCTAGATTTAGAAGCAGAGAACCTGGGTGATTTTCTGAGTGTCAACTTTAGGAAGTACCAGTCATGGGCTGTCCACTCACGTATCAAACTATCCATCTGGCAGCTGAAAGAAACAACTGGTTGTTTCATTTTCACTTGTAAAACTAATAACACTGGCCTGTGTAGCCAGCATTGTGTTGACATTCTGAGTTTTTTAAACTAGGAGTAAAATTTACTACTTTGAATATGTGAATTATTGATATTTTTTATTTATTTTATTTATATCCCGCCTATCTGGTCAGTTATGACCACTCTAGGACTAATAACACTGGCCTGTGTACCCAGCGTTGTGTTGACATTCTGAGTTTTTAAAACTAGGAGTAAAATTTACTATTTTGAATATGTGAATTATTGATATTTTTTTATATTTTTTTATTTATATCCCGCCTATCTGGTCAGTTATGACCACTCTAGGCGGCTTACAACATAAATAAAGTACACATAAAATACACAGATATAAAATTATTACATAGTGAACAATAAACAAAATCCAACAAGACGGAAAACAAGCAGTAGAAAAGGAGAGGGAAGGAAATCATCAGGAATTAACTGGGGGGAAGGCCTGCCGAAACATCCATGTTTTTAGTTGATTTTTAAAGATACCCAGCGAGGGAGCCGCATGAATCTCCGGAGGAAGGTTGTTCCAGAGGCGAGGAGCCACCGCCGAGAAGGCCCGGGTTCTTGTTTTTTTCCTTCCAGGCCTCCCTCAGCGTCAGGCTCCTTAGCCTCACCTCCTGACTCGATTGGGTGATATGGGTAGTTCTTGGTGGGAATAGGCGTTCTGCCAAGTATCGAGGCCCTAAACCGTTTAGGGCTTTGTATGTAAGCATCAACACTTTGAAGTCGATGCGGAACTGAATGGGCAGCGAATGCAATGCGGCCAGAGTGGGTGAGATGTGTTGGTATTTTTTCCCTCCACTAAGTAGTCTGGCCACTGCATTCTGCACCACCTGGAGGTTCCGCAACAGTCTCAAAGGCAGCCCCACGTAGAGCGCATTACAGTGGTCTAATCTTGAGATTACGAGCGCATGCACCAAGGTAGTGAGCGCCCCAACATCGAGATAGGACCACAGCTGGGCTATCCGCCGAAGGTGAAAAAAGGCGGTACGGACCACCGACGCCACCTGGGTCTCCATAGTGAGCGTTGTGTCCAGATGGATCCCCAAGCTGCGGACCTCTCTATAGTGAGTGCTGGGTCCAGATGGATCCCCAAGCTGCGGACCCCATCCTTGGCGGCAAGAGTCACCCCCCCAAAAGAGAGGGAGTTTCCCAGGCCCCCAACTGTGGGGGGGTTATGTGTGAAAAGTTTATGTGTGAAAATTTATTGCCTTGTATGAAATAATGAATGCAATATTATGTGTTACAATTCTGAGGTGTAACACAAAAATAAAGCATCCAAAATCTGAACAAATGAAGCAAAGATGCTTTTGTGGAGTCATCATTTGACTTAAGACTCGTCCTCAAAACATGTCCTAATAAGTTGTGAATGTGGAGTGATTTTCTTCTCTGCAATCAACATTTCAGTGTGAAGACTGGCACCTTACTTAGCTGCTAGAGTCATCATTTGACTTAAGGCTGGTCCTCAAAACATGTCCTAATAAGTTGAGAATGTGGACTGATTTTCTTCTCTGTAATCAACACTTCAGTGTGAAGACTGGCACCTTACTTAGCTGAAGAAGCTCTACTGTCTTCAGTTGAAAGGGGCAGATTGTTACACAAATGTGTGTAGTATATTGATTATCACTGAGAACCACAGATCAAGTTCTTTATTTACAAGACTTGTGTTTAGCTGCAATATCAGTTAAAACAACAATCCTCCTGGAGGAGGGAGGGAAGAGTGCAAAATCACTACAAGTGAATGAATCCAAGCTTTCAGCCAAAAGATAAATGAATGAATCCAAGCTTTCAGCCAAAAGATTACTCCTATTGTTGTTGGCGCTGCAGATCTTGGGTAGACTTTGAATCTTCCCATGGACGAGGCCCTCTGATGTTCTTCCAATCTTCAAAGGCACTGTCTTTTATTTTCTGTAAAGGAGGACAGAAAAGCAATTATAATAACTTCCAAAAACTACTAGGTTCTTCCAGACATTTAAAAATAATTCCTTTACATGATCTGAACCTTCTCCTCTGCAACTCATGACCAGGAATGATTTCTAAAAGAAACCATCAAGAAAGTACCCAGACATTAATACAAATGAAAATTCAACACAACGGAAGGAAATAGGGGCTCTTTCACCAAGGGAGTAAGGTTGATAGGAACCTCTCATTTCCACCTTTCTTTTTTTAAAAGGTTGACATTTTGTAGTATCTTATCTTTGGCTTCACACTATCCCAACATGTGAGGAATGTGGAATTTTGGAGGGAAACAAAAAAGAAAACTATTCTCTAAATTGACTCTGATTGACACAAATATAGAAGTCTTTTTATAAATTCATACGGAGAAGTAAATGCTGCATGTGTGTGACATATTGGCCAAATAAAAACAGGTTCTTTGGATCTCAGACCTGTTATAAAATAAGATTCTCACTTCAAGTCTGGAGAATTTCATCCCTAACAAAGGAAAAATCAGGGAACTGCAGAGTAGTTTATTAAACATGTTCTTTATATTCATCAGTTTACCAGTACTACTGATGAGAATGCAAGGCTTTCTGAGATTTAGGTCATAGCTCCATCACATAATAGTCAAATTATGCCACTCATTCCTTCTTTCCTGAAGCAAGGGACAGATTGTAGAATATTGTTGGGTTGCAATATAGAAAGGTACAATTTCTGATCACAGGATTCCTAGAGGAAGCAGGAGAAATTCTGAACCATTCCTAATAAAAAAACAAAACTTTCACAGCTATAGGCCAGGATAGATGAAGGTAGAAGATTGATTGATTGATTGATTGATTGATATACCACCCATCTACAACATGACACAAAGCAATAAAAACATCACTACTAATGTAAAAATGAATTCAATTCTTGGCCGTAAGGGAGACAAACTCCAGCCTCAGAAAACGAGAACGGTTTCATAGAGTTAACTGCACACAGGCCTTTGCAGACTACACAATATACAATCAACACAGTGCAATATAACAGAAATTAAATAAAACTTCAGATTCTACTCCATCTGAGCTCTGGGCTAGAACTCTTAAGTTCAGATCGGAGCTCCTGTATCTTCATGCTCACACAAGAAAGAGAAGTTCACCTATTGCAGTTCCTACTTAACTAAATCCAGTTTATGAAAGGGAGCTACCTAAAATAGATTCTGATTTTATTAGATTCTAAACATCTATTAATACCCAAGGGATTTCTTGATAACAATGTATAGCCAAATAATCAAAAGACAATTCAGATCAAATGAATTTTTAGAAGATCCTACTTTTAAAGCAAAAATGAGAAATGCAATCTTTGAAAAAGATACAATCTTGAAATAGGCTTTCTACTGTCTCTTTCTCCTGGGAAAGGGAAAGCACCTTTTAAGATGATACATTCCTTATTATACAAATTCGCACTGCTCTTTGTTTCATATATTGTAAAGAAACAGTCTTGTTAGGAAGAGAAATTGTTTAAAAATGTTCACACATTTAATGTGTAACATTTATGTGCTGCGGAAGGATTAAGTAGCAGTTGATGTGTAAGGGGAGCATATTTATTGAAGGCTTGGCTACTAAAGGATACATTGTTTATTCATATATATTGATTGGCAACTACAGTGTTTAACTGTCAACAGGATTATTTTGTGAAGACTGGCTGCAGATGCGTAGAAACAACACAAATTGGACGAATACGATTGATGGTTTTAAAACATCTCACAGAAGGTGACTGGTGAAGTATGGTTATGGATGATTTTGACACTGAATAGGACTGGCTGTATCTTTAAAAAGATGGATGTCTGAGAATATATAAAGCCAAAAGAGAGGGGAGGAGAGTCAGAGTTAGTCTGGAGAAGATGACCCAGATGTAGAAGGCTGAAGACTGAAGTAACTAAAGGGCAGTAAAAAGCTAAGATCACTCAAGGCCAGGCTGAGGAAGGCTTATGAAAGAAATTGAGAACTTCCATAGTGGCTTCAGAAGCAGCAGAAGTTTGAGTATGAGTCAACCACAGCCCAAAGAGATGGTTGATAAACCAGAAGTAAAGTTCTGCAGAGATGTCAAGGTCACTATAAACTCGAACACTTGTTATATGCTTTCAAATCACTTCTGATATATGGTGATCCTAGCAGGGTTTTCGAAGTATGCAAAATGTTCAACAAGTAATTTATTACTGCTGCTCTGCAGTGTGTGTCTGTGGCCAAGCTGGGATTTCAATCCAGGTCTCATGAGTCCTAGTCTGACACGTACCCACTACACCACACTGGCTCCAAACTCAGTGAATACAGACTCACTACTGAAGTCTCAGAACACTGTCTGTGAGTTGACTGAGTTTTGCAGAAATTGAACTAATAGTTTACCTAGTCCTGAACTAGTAGATTATTCTTAAGAACAAAGACAGAGATAGTTGATGGACAAAGTGTGGTTCCAAGGTTGATCCTCCTGTCCCCAGCTCCCCTATAGCCTATTCTTTTTCTGGCAAAGAAATAGAATTGCAGCTCTTGAGAATCAAAAAGAGTCACCTTTGAAATAAGTCATACATCCTAAACTGTTTAACATAACAAAATACAAAATTTTCAGATCTGGAAGTGGGCTGCTAGCCAATGTTGGTTTCAATTTTCACATTTTTATGGCAATCTTGCTACTCCATGCATGAAACTGGCCCACAGACCTACTAAAGTTTTTCACCCCTGTATTAGCAGAACTTGTAGGCCTGAGTGGAAAAGAAGATCTTCCAAATGTCATGGTAAAGAGTGAGCCATGCAATATCAATGATACTACACACACATGACTGGGAAAATCAACAAGCAAACAAACCATCTGCCTCTTTACAGTGAGGACACAATATAACCTTTGGCAAGTACCACAAATTGAAACAGAAATAAGGCATGACTTGATAGAATACTTTACAGGACTGTCATTTTTGCCTTAGCAATCAGTGCAAGTTGCTGAGGCAGGTGAGCATCTACCAGAAGTCAAGCTCTTGAACTAAGCACTCTTAAGATCCAGCTAGTTCCCCCAAGTTCATCTTAAACAAATTTTGCTGAAACATTTAAGATGAGTAAAGAATTGTTGTGTGGAAGAAGTATATATCCAGCTAGTGAACAAAAAGCTGAATCAGGTGCTGTGTTGTCTCAGTGGTATCCTATACCACTCTAGTTCTCTAAACAAGGATCAAGTTTCCACATTAGCAATTAAGTTTAAGTAGGAAAGATCACAGGCAAATCCTTTGCAGTAAGCTAGGGTAAAGAATTAATGGACCATTGAGTTTTGTTGTCTGCTTCCTACATTGATGGTAATTTTGGATAGCATTCCTCCAGAGAAGACAACACTTGACTGTTAAGTTTCCTTCTGAAAAGAGTAGATTCACACATCTGGAATTTGAGGGGGGGGGCGTCCTACCCTGTTTGCAAACAGTCCATGTTTCCAGTTCATATATATAACACTGACCATTACAAATGATGGTTTGTAATGTCTGCTGTGTTTTATTTTGTTTCATGTTTGGATTTTTTAAAACTCTTACTGTAAACTACTTGGAGATTTTTTTTTCAGAACAGGAATCAACCTACAGATCAATATGACAAAATTTGAAAGAGAGGGCAACACATTTATTTCTTTCAAACCATCTGTACATTTTTCTAGATTACAGTACTACTTGTTATCACCCATTGAGATAGGACATTTTATTCTCCCAGAGACATGTTTTGTTGCAGAATTTTCATAGAATGCAATCTATTAGGTAGACATTTCATGACATAGTCATCTGAACAATTTTAAACAGTATGCATGAGTTTCAGCTACTTGCCTTTTTTAAATAGGGAGGGGGGACTACTGCATTTGGAGGTTCAAATGATTCAATACTCCTGCACAGCGAAAGTCGTATGTCAGAAGTCTAGCCTAAGGACACTTATTAGGGGAGCTTTCTAGATGAAGGGATTTTTTTAAATGAATGATGTGACACTTTACCCAGTTCTGTTAGAGCAAATGCCAATGCTGCTACACAGTAAATTGAACAAGGGACAACAGAACTGGTTTACTGTATTTTAAACTATATGTTAGTATGCACTGTACTAATGATCATGCTGTAAATCCAGCATGCGGGCAACAGCTATAAGTCTACTTGAAGCAACCAGTAATACATCCTAATGCACAGAGGAAGAACCCTTGACTCTCCAGGTATTTTGGGCTCCAACTCTCAACATTCTTTACCACTGGCCAGGCTGAATGGGGCTGATGAGAGCTGACCCATATATTCAGAAGACCAAAGCTTCCCCATTCATTTTGAAGAGCTCTTCTTATAAGACAGTTAAGTGCAGACACTAAAATGACCTAACTGTACCCGTTTCCTACTTGGGCAGAAGTAACAGAACTCAGGCGCAGGTTTAGCACTTGAGTGAGTAAAAGACAGGGATAAGGTACATTTAAAACTACTGATGCTATTGGTCTAAAACTCTCATAATTCCAACCCTTGGCCACACTAGCTAGGGCTTGTTGTAAGTTGCAGTTCTGGTTTCTTTTAAAAATTTTTAACAGATGTCTGAAAGTTTCTTATTTACAGCAACTTATCTGATGGGGATAAATCTGCTTCTTTACTTAGTTGTTTTACTTTTGGATGTTCACATGTGCTCCACCACCTCAAATAACTCAGACCGAGTAACTACTGCCTTGAAAAACCTATGTCTTATCCCACCCCAACCATGTGGTTTACAAGAAGCATTCCAGAAGTAGAGCGCACTGCCAGAAGTAGTGGTAGCACTTCTACAGAGAGGAATTAGGCAAATTAAATAGAAAAGCTTACCTGGCTTCATAAGAGAATGTGTATGTATGTGAGTGGAATGCTTAAACAGTATGTGCTTGGAAAATTAGTCTACTACTGGAACATAAGATAGATAGAATATATGATCAACCTGAAAGTGCAGTCATTTAGTATACAAATATATGAACTA